CGGCGCCGCCTGGCAACGCCCGCCGGGCCCGCGCGCCGCCCCGGGAAAGCCGATAAAAATTGTGAAAAAAAACAAAAAAATCCTCACCCGGGGAATCACTTTCTCTGCCGCTTTGCCCTCGAGTCGAATTTAAAGGGAATCCTCACTGAAATTGTGGCTTTTTCTGCTGCTTTGCCCACTCTTGGGTCACCAGTCTCAGCCACTCTCCATAACTGATTGATTTATTTAGCATTAGGATTAATTGATTTAGGTTTTTGCTGCCCACCCCAGTAAATAAATCCTCGTGGTGTTTACATTATTTATTAATAAGCATGTGTCCCTCAAAATAAGCAGCCGTCCCTCAAAGTCGGCTGTTTCCCCTTGGCGGTGGAAGCTCCATGTCCTCCTGTGCTGAAACCCCCTTTTCTCCTGGTTCTCAAGGCAGCGGCAGCCCCGGTCCTAGGGAAAACCTGGTAACTTCCCTACATGTCCCGACACGGCTCTTTAACCAGGAGGAAAATGAGCCCTGGAGTTCCAGGCTTCCCACTGCGAATTGCTGAGTAAAAGTGGGCGAAAAGGCGAAGCCCTGGGTGAAAACCAGGCAGCTGAAGCGCCTTTGGGGCACGCGGGGGCTTCCGCAGGCCCGACGGAGCTGCCCTGGCAGGAGTTCACTGCGCTTGGTTTCAACAGAAAAGAGCAAACAAACGSCACGGAGCGGCGGCCCAAAATCAAATAAACGTCACGTGGCGGCGGCCCGAATTCGGCTGTCGTTTGCTGCGTGGCCGGAGCGTCCGGGCCCGCGTGTCACGGTGCTGCCCGTGCTAGGAAGACAAGCCGGCTCCTAAATGGTCATGCAGGGTGAAAATGCTGTGGTTTTATAATAAATGCTGTGGTTTTATAATAAATCACCTTATACTGCAATGAGGTCACAGGTAGCACGGGGGGAAAGAAAAACCCTCTCTTGCGTGCAATTTTGGGCAATTTTGGAAACTTTTTTTTTTGTTCCACTTCCAGTACCTGTTGAACCACGTCCAGGCTCGGGAGGTCCTAGTTTGGATGTTGACCTTAACAGTTCATTGTCCACAGTGAGATTCCGCCTGGCCAAAGGTGCACAGAGTGCAGGMACCTCTGAGCCAGTGGCCTGTGGTTCCCTTGCACCTCCACGGAGGCACTTTTGTGGGTAGGATTCATCCTAAATGGGATTTACAGATCTGCTCAGATGAACTGTGTCTCGCAGGTGGCATCGTCCCATCAAATATGGGACCTCGATGTGACCAGTTCATTTCAAACAGACTGTTTGAAGTTACGTGCAATGTGTCCTAGGACCACTGTTGATATGTTCTCAGTGGGAAAGGCTGCCTCATCTATTATTTCTCTTATTTCTTGTTTGTATTAGGGTGACAAGAAAGAAAACTGGTACATTTTAAATGGACCTTCTGTACTGGATGTGGCACCATGTTATTTAATAACTTCAGGTGCATTTTTGATCATTTCGCTCAGCTTTCTGAACCTTTGCCAGCTGTGAGCACCCTCATGGTGCTGCAGAGCTCTCCTTCCTCTGAAGCTGGGGTGGGACCTGAGCACCTTTGTGTGTTCTTTTGTTTTCCTGCCTCATTGTTTTGTGTGACTCGAAGGTTTCTATGGCTAATTGGTCTGTAAAGAAAACAGYACACACTTAGGGAACTGTTCCTATAAAGTTGTGTTATCTCTAAAAAGAAAGGGAGCTATTGATGGCCCTTCTTTTCCTCTTAGACACTGGAGGGAAGTATCTGGTCACTGAATCAGCCCTGCAGTTACTGTCAAGGAAGCCTTCCTGGAAAACAGACATATGAACACGTCGTGTTCCCTGTCATAACAATGGCAACATCTCAGCTGCACCAAAAATTAGGATGTTGAGCTGTACACAGAGCATTGAGCTGCACTTAATCAGGGGAAGCAAGCAGTAGGAGCAAGTCAATGTTTAACAAAGAAGGGACCTGGGGTAATAACTGCCCTGCACTGTGCTGGCCACGCTGCCTGAGCTGTGATTTCTTCAGAGCCAAGCAATGAACTGCGTGGGCAAAGATGGTCATTCGGTTAAAACTTGACTTCTGTCCCCTCCACCTCAGATGAATACAAAGGGATAGTAAAGCAGTATAAACAAATCTAGAACTTCTGCGCCTAACTGCATTTAGGAAGTGCAACACGTGCTGGTGTAGGTGGAAATGGCAGGTCTGCCTGGGCTCCTGAAACAGCAGATAATCATATATATCAAATTATGTAAGGTTATAATCACCGTGAAAGAGGAATTCAGTAAAAACAAAATGTGTGTGTACACACCAAATGTTGTTCAGTTCCCACTGAGCAAGCCGTCTGCTTAAATGGAAGGCTTTGTGCTGCTCAGAAAGGGAATCTTCATGTAAAACGGTCCATCTGGAAAAACTGTGGCTTGGAAAGAGTGTTGTAACAAGAGGAATCACAAGAGGGTAGTGTTGGACAGCACTCTAGCCTCTGAAATTCCCACAGCAATGACCCTGTGCCATAACCGTGCTTATTTTTCCAGAAGAGCACACGGAAGTCACTGCATCTCTTCTGACAGCAGTCTCTGGGGATGTGACATTTGTCTGCGTGCGAGACAGGGCCTTGTAGTGTCAAGATGAGCACACCAGTGCAGTTGCCGCCTTCACCTTTGTAGCTACATTGAAATCAAGCCTGAAATGACAGCGAGAGAGATTTGGGAGATGCAATAAATAAACTAATAAATAAATGAATGAGYGGAGAGCTGTGGAGGATGAGTCAGTCATGATAATATTTATTCCATTTCTTGCTTGTAGGTTTCTACTACAGCTGAARCTTCTCTGAGGCCTTGGTAACTAAAGCTGGCTTCTCTTTTCCTTGCCTGCTCTCTGTGGGAGGAGAAGATCATGGCTGAGCAGGAGGAGTAAGGGATGGGGCCAGTAGGCACATTCGAGAATGCTGTTTCTAATAAGGAACTCTTGAGCCGTTCAAGAAGAGCTTTCTTCCTGTCTTTGCTTCTCTGCCAAGACTCCTACGTGGTTCAAGGTCTTCTCCCAGCCTTGTGGGGACACGGCAGCCTTCTCTAGTGCTTATAAACCATGGAAGGGGCAGAAGGAATCTCCCTGCCTTGATGTTGCATCGGGGCTTTATGTGTACTTGTAAACCAAGAGAAAATGTATATAAGAGTGGAGATGTTTATTTAGAGATGATTTCATAGAAGAGCATTGATTCCACCGTGCCAAGCATCCGGCYTGTGAAGCTAATGAGGAACGATCGATTGAAAATGATGCATTCCCTGGCAAATAGCCAGGGACAGCTCTTCTCTTTCAAACCCTTTCTCAGAAAAGGAAGGAAAAGGAGGTGGGGAGGGAAGCTGCAGACACGATGTACTTGAAAAGCYAGTGTGCCACCATAAAGTCAACGTCGGTGGCTAGGATCTCAGCTAGCGTGTGTAGGCTCAGCTCACAGAAAACAATCCCTGGCAAGAAGCACAAGTGCTGTGAGRCTTGGGCATGTTTGGCTTTCTCCTCCGTCTGGCTGCTTGTTCCATCGTTGCTGGGTGCTCTCGGCGTTACATGAGGAGGTGTTTTAGCTTGAGCAAGGCAGTGTGTTCATCTTCTTACCTGAGCGACTCACCCACGCGCTCTGACCCATCCCGGTTTGYTGTGTGAGGAGCGCGCTGGCAGGAAAACCAGGCACGCTTCTTGCAGTGACGCCAGGCAACACTTGTGAACTCAAACCACTTGACTCAGGTGTGTTTTACACCTGTCAAACAAAAGAAAACATGTAGGATATTTATAGTGTTTTTAAAAGCATGTGAATCTGTGCCCTTTCAGGCTTATTTGCTGAAATCTGCATAAGAGCAGGTTTCATATTTACCATTTCTTTGGTAAAAAATGTTACCAGTTTTTCATTCAACTCTGAATGAAAGGGAAATGATTTTTTAAATCTCTGAGCTTCCAGTGGAGCCAATGAGAAATTTGTTTTTTAATTCAGCAGGAACAGAGTTAAACTGACACTAGAGCCCTTTGAAAAAAAAAAAAAGTCATAATCTAATTAAAAGTATTTAAAGTAGAATTTAAAATATTTAAATACATTGGAATGTTAGTGTTTTTAGAAGATCCTGGGGGATCATCTAAAAAGGACAGGGAGGACAGGGARAGAATTCCCATGGATCTTGATGAACTGGAAAGACAGTCAGAAAAGGAGAGGACGCTATTTCATAAAGACAAGTGCAAGCTGGTTTGCTTAGAAAGGGACAGACGATTATCCAGAGATAGGCTGGAGATCAACAGTGTGATTTGGAGTTCTGTGGAATAAAAAGAAAGTACAAAAGAGGAGCCCTTCTCCACTTATTGAAAGTTCTTAACACCAAAAAAATGCATAGTGAGTCCTGCCCTGTTACAGGAACAGATTAGAGAAGATTCTTCAGGTATCTTCCTATCTTGGTCTTATTCAGCTTGCAGCAATGAAGTAGTCTAACATTGTCAAAAAGTGGATTTTGCACTCATTTTATTAACTCTGCTGGTGGGAAACTGAGAATAGAACCAGTGATGTATTTAATAATTTACTAATTTAAATAAACTAATAATTATATTAAGGATTACATTACACTGACGATTAAGCAAGCGTTTAAGTGTAAAGGGGCATGTGAAGCCTCAGTTCTCCTATATGACACTGCAGTGTCAAATATCCCCTTTAAC